GGGGGGGGTTGGGGGGGAGCGGGCCTGGCTTGGGGGAACCAGATGGCAGGGAGCAGGGCTGGCTGGGAGAGGGGGAGGGGAGAGGGAGAACTGGCCAGCGGGAAGCAAGGTTGGCCAGAAGGGGGTTGGGGAGAGCGGGGCTGGCCCAGGCACACGCAGATCCAGGGCGCTGCCCGGCCCGACCCCCACCCTCCTCCTCTCTACTGTGTAGTTGCGTACTGCCTGACTGGTAGACATGCTTATACACAGGGAGCAGGGCTGGCTGGGAGAGGGGGAGGGGAGAGGGAGAACTGGCCAGCGGGAAGCAAGGTTGGCCAGAAGGGGGTTGGGGAGAGCGGGGCTGGCCCAGGCACACGCAGATCCAGGGCGCTGCCCGGCCCGACCCCCACCCTCCTCCTCTCTACTGTGTAGTTGCGTACTGCCTGACTGGTAGACATGCTTATACAGTGTGAACGTGTCTGCCAGTCAGGCAGTATGCAACTATGTACTCTTACTTAATTACTTTATATGTCGGGTATTTTCTCAGTTTGTTTCCTGGACAACCCTAAACCGGACACCTGGAAACCCTAAAAGCAACATAAGGGTTTGGTTGTGCCAGGAAATAGGAAGTGCCTGGAGTAGGATTGCTTCTCATAAAACCATACAGAAAAGAGAAAGAATCACCAGGCAGGTAAAAGAGGCTGGCTGGGGGCACTTCTCCTCCAGGCATCCTTAGGGAGGACAGAAGGGACCGAAGACCCCCACGATTCATATCTCAACAATATTGGCTGTTCCCCTTAGTCAGAGAGCAAGGGGAAAGTGCAGTTTGTTGCATTCTTCACTCTGGCTGGGGAGTGCAAGGAGCAGATGAGCTGTATACTTTACTCCATGCCCAGAGCCCTTCCTCACTCCCCAACCTCAATATCCTCCCATACCTCTAGCCCTCTGCCTTCAGCCCTTCCTTAAGGACCTGAGAAACACCAGATACACATGTTCATATTTCATATTAGAATATTCATTACATGTGCTATATGCATTGAAAATGTACCTCCACTTGTTTGGATTAAGGCAAAAAAGCTTACCATTCAAGCCATCATCTTCAGAAGGCCTGTAAAAGAGAGAAAGTGTTACACAGAAAAGTACTGGATGTTACTTGTAAGACACACTCTTTTTATTCTTTATGATTTTATCCTTTAAGATACAGCAACCTGGAGTCACTTTCTGGAGCTTGCAGTATTGTTTTACAACTTTGCTCTACTTTTCAAAGACGTTAGTAAGTTTCTTAATTATTAAAACATGCGTGTGCACTCACCAATTAAATATTTGTACATATAGCCTTACTACACATACTATACTCAAAGCCTTACTATAAATGCTTCATGTATGACAGCATATCCCACAGAGGTGTTTAACTGAAAACCTACATGTTCACAAGCCATTTCTATTTCAATCATCATACTATTATATCAAAGGTTTAACAAACAATTAACCAGAAGGCATGAATTAGTAAGGAATGTAGTAATGACATAGTTTCAGGGGAGGACTCACAATAAAAGGTACGTTAAGCATCCATTAAGTTAAATATACATAGTTAAAAATACACATTCACTAACCAGTGTCAGTGCCAGGGTATCACACTCACGTAGAGATGTGGCTTGTCTCTCTCACCAACAGAAGTTGGTCCAATAAAAGATGTTGCCTCACTTACTCTGTCTCTTTAAATTAGACTACTTCCTTTAGGTGCACATTCTATCCTCAGATATACATGCATAGTCCTGTTAACTTGTCAATGTATTTCAATGAATAAAATGACTACCATATTTTCCGGCATATAAGACGACTTTTTATGCTAAAAAACATCCCCCAAAAATCGGGGGGCGTCTTATACGCCGGGTATACAGGCAGTCCCCGACTTGCAGGTAGGAACGGGGCTTTTCTCGCCCTGGAGGACACAGACTGCGGGACCTCACGGTCCTGCCGCCCGTGTACTCCAGGGCGAGAAAAGCTGCTCCGCGTCTCCCTGGTCTGCAGACCAGGAAGATGTGGAGTAAAGCCGTGGAGGGGCTCCGGCAGCGGGGGAGCCCCGACGCGCCGTGGCTGGCCCCGCTCCGGGG